TATCGCTCTGTTTCATACTGCTTCTTTGGTTGCAAAGTCCTGCAAAAACTCAGCAGTTTCTTTACAAGGCACCACTATTTCCACTGATTTTTTTTCTGATTGTGTACTCAATCAAAGAACATTACCATCGTGCCATTATTCCTCTCTATAAAATTAAGCAACAGAAAATGGCTCTAAATATACCAGGCTTAGTATCTCTGAGTGTATTTTTTACATTAACTTTAGCTACTGGAATTTGGGCTTCTTGGAAAAGCAGAAAGGATCAGCAAAACAGGAACCCAACAGAGATGGCCATGGTTGGAGGCAGGAATATACATGTTTTCATTGGATTGTTTACTGCAACAGGTAAGCTATCTTAAAAGACTTCTAAAAATTCTTCTTAAAACACATGTATTGCATAGATCTGGGTGACTTTTCTTTCAAAGGAGGTGAACTCCTTTAATGTCAAGGTAGATTTTTGCCTAAGTGTGACTTTAAAGGAGTATGGTTTCATGAATCATTTTGGGACGGATTCTTACAAACCTCTTCACACTGAACAGAACCTAATGTTTATGTATATTCTCTTAAATTAAAGAGATTCATTTAAGAGTTTAGTTAAGAGTTAAGAGTTTAATTTAAGAGTGACAAAAGAATACAACACTTTTCATTAAGGAGGACTGTGGCCTTAATTGTGAACCAGTTTCTGTTATCCAACATAACAGAAAAATTTTACTCACAGAAAACTCCAGTTCTGTGTGAAATAAATTGTCAGTCATGGTGAGCATTGGTCTCTCTCTTAAAGAGAGAGTTTCCCTCAACTTCACTTTTCTCTCCTTGCTGCCTGGCATAATCTGAAATTTGCCTCCCTGACCTGTTTTTTGTAAAGGCATCCCCCAACAGCATTTGTATGGCTAAGATACTTAAATAATTGTTGGAGGTTTGTTATCTGACTGCATTGCCTGTTTGCATTTGTCTTCCCTAATGCCTATTTTCTTAGACCCTTCAAGTCTTGAAGGACAACCCTGTTGCTCTTGAAGGAGGGTAATTCTACAAAGACAATTCTGTTTCCTCTAGCAAAAGTCTTCCTCTGAGAAAAAAAAATTTAATTAAAAATTACTATATTCAAATTGCCTCTAAATGTTTAAACACTGAGCTTTTCCATGCACACACAAGTATTCATTCTTGAAGCTGGAAAATTATTTAGAATGAGATTCTAATACAATTACCTATAGTCAGCACATCTCTGTATGGCAGAAAACTTTGCAAAGAAAATAGAGGTGTGATAAAATATTTGTAGAAGAAAAATGTTTTCAAGTTCTCAGAGTGTTCTGCAGTGATAGTTGAGAATATGTCTCTCAATTCTGATCTTTTCATCTTCCATGATTACAGCCACCTGGGTTGGAGGAGCATATATCAACAGCACAGCTGAACTCGTCTATCTGCCTTCAAAAGGATTACTGTGGGTCCAGGCACCTGTGGGATTTGCCTTGTCCCTTGTTATTGGTAAATAATTAATGTGATTAAGGCACATAAGCTTTAAAAATATATCATAGGAGTATATTAAAATATGTAATAGAATATAGGGTACATTTTAAATGTGATTTTGTTTTTTCAGTTTCCCATATATCAAGAATAAGCATAATTTATAATGCTGTCCTCTTAACTGAAACGTAAGTTAGGATAGCTTGGAGCTAGTGTAGTGTTTTTCCTGCTTGTAGTAATTTATGGGACAAAAATCTTATCCGAGGATTTAGAAGAATGTGTCTATTGCTTTTCTCACATGGTCTCTAATTCACAGTCTATTGAGAGTATTGGTATCTATTTTTTTCCTTGGAATTTCTGAGTGATGAAATAATAGTATCTTGATTTTTCCACTAAAATGCATTCTTCTGAGTAGTCTCATTTTAGGATGAATGTGTTGTGCATCCAGCTTATGCCACTTTGTAGCTGTTTGGTTGTTTTGGTTTTTTCTTTTTTTGAAACTAAGCTAAGTGTGCAGTGTTCTACACCTGAGTTGCCATTTCTAACTCTGACAATTGCTAGACTCATGCCCTCTTGCCAAGACCAAAGTTGCTTTCAGGCCACATTGTACTATAACTCTCCTAGGGACACAGGATGATGAAAGCAAGGAGACCTGTGCAGACCTTACACAGGAATTCCTAAAAGAACAATAACCTTTATTCTCAAGTCAAAGAAAAGAGTCCAACTGACATGAATATGAATCAAGCTTGGAAATATATTGCAAGGGCTGCTTATGTGAGTAATTCTTACTAATGAAATAAGAAGTGCAGGTCTGATCCTGCAATCTTTGCTCAGGTCAGTAGTGCCCAGACAAGCAGTCCTGCTAGCTTCAGGGTTAGACACAATATGTATTCTTTGATTTTAATGAGATGGCTGCACATCAAGGTTCAATATTTAGATGAAGGTGGGTGGGACTCCACTCAATGTGCAGATTAAAACAATATAGTTCTGGGAAGAGACAATGAAGCTGCCAAAATGAAAAATGTAATCAGAAAAGGACCACCTATCAACAGGTTGCATCACATGACCAACGACAAAACTTTGCCTCCTTTTTAGCCAAACATGAGTCTTCAATGACTTGGTCTGTTTACTGGCATCTTCCACAGGAAGCTTTTCAGGAAACTTTATGTCTCAGATTGGTAGGTCTTTGAGGAGGCAGAGGAGATTATATATGGGTATCCTCTGAGCTAAATTCCTGTTACAGTCACACAGGTATTTTGTGCCATTTGGGCTGCCACAGGGCACCCCACTTTCTGGCCTCCAGTAGCCACTCCAGAAAGATCTAGATGTGCCAAAAGCAGATGGTTATATATATAAGCTTTAAGCCGATATCCTTTATAAGATGGGAATTCTCAAATGGACGGAACCCTACATTAGCAAGTGAATTTAAACCCTAGTGTCTGGTTGGCTGCATCATTCTCTAGGGTCCCTTATGTATGAATTTACTAGGTGGGTCTGATACACATATACCATATTGCTCTTACCTCTTATTTCCTGGAACATAAACCAGGCAAAATTCTACCAAAATGTCATTTCTTTCTTATAGGTGGTTTCTTCTTTGTAAATCCAATGAGATCAAAGAACTATGTGACCGTGATGGACCCCCTTCAAGAAATTTATGGGAACGTGATGGGTACCTTACTCTTCATTCCACCACTGCTAGGAGAGGTGTTCTGGTTTGCAGCTATCCTGGCATCCCTGGGTAAATACTTGCTTTCCTGTTATATTTGTTAAAGGTCATGTGGACTAACAAAGTGTAGTACACCTTTGGGAATTGTGGAAAGCTGTGCTTTATGTCTCCTTTTGTGAGAGGAACAAGCATTTCTCATTTCTAGAAAATATGTTTTCAGGCTTAAAATAAATAGTGCTATATATTCATTATATTATAATAGAGAACTCTTCCAATGTGAGTTTGTACCTTCCTCTCGCCTGTAGGAGAGAACATGTAAAGACGCAATGGCCCTGCAGCAAGGTGAAGCAGCAGAGCAGGAAGGAATCGTGGGCTCTCTCGAGTTCCCACAGTACACACTCTCTGTAAACTGCACTTTTCATACAGTATGTTGTACTGGCACCAGGGGAATAACATATCCTCATTTATCCTGTATTCTGCACGTATGAAATCTGTCTTAAGATACTTGACTGCTGTTCTTGTCTGCAGGAGCAACAATGAGGGTTATCTTGGATATTGGAGGCTCTTTGGCTATCACCATCTCGGCCTGTACTGTCATACTCTACACTCTGCTGGGAGGCCTCTACTCTGTTGCCTACACCGATGTCATCCAGATGGTTTTCATTACCCTCAGCCTGGCAAGTCCTATGCATGTCTTTGGTAGTTTTTTAACTAAAGGGAAAAGTGCTGCTCTTCTTTTCAGCATATCTCAGACAAAAAATAACTTCCTTGACCTGCAGCTCCCCTATAGGAAAACATATTTCCTGAGAAACATTGCAGTATTTGTAAGTCTTTGTACCTCATGCATTTCAGACAGTGCTCACACAAGCCACTGGCCTTACTGGGTGAACACAAAAAGGTCTGCACAAAAGTGAAGTCTGCAGAACCTGTCTAGAACCATTTTGAATGGAGAGAGATCTGTCTACAGAAAGTACCAATTAACCTGAAATACAGACTCATGTTCCTGACGATGCCATGAACCAGAAACATGTAGATTTAGAGTAAGGAAGGGGGAGAAAAGAAGACTCTAAGTCTAGGCTTAATCTTATGTAACTCAACATTCTACATCTACCTTAAGTATCTGTTCTCCAAGAACAAGGGCACTGGGAAAATGGTTAACAACTTCCATTTCTATCCTAGTGGATCTGTATCCCCTTTGCCCTGGTGAATTCTGCAACGGAAAGTATTTATTACACTGCAACCTATCAATCTTACCAAGACCCTTGGATTGGGAAAATAGAGAAACAGTATCTTGGAAGGTGGCTGGATGACTTCTTCTACTTGGTACGGAGTATTTATTGGACAAATGGTTGAGAGGAGGAAGTGTGTGGGGACTTTCTGTCTGGAAAACTTGTGAGTTCTACCAGCCGGGAGCCATTGCATGGCCAGTTAACACAGGCTGGAGGTGTAAAACTGTCTCTAAGTACCTCCTGAAGCAACCTAAATGGACTGGGGAGACTCAGGGGTTAGCTTTGGGATGAAAAGAAGCAGTAGGGACACTCCATCCCTTACCCACATGGAGGAACATACCTCTTGAGTAAAACCATCCAGACAGCCAGTTCCTCTCCTGGCACCTAAATGAGTAATTTCCTACCTTTTGAGACACTGGTCTTGCAGCCTCAATAGTGTGCTTTTAACATAAATATGTAAAATTTCCTCTATTTAAAAAAAAAAAAAAAAACCAAAATTAAAATGACATGACTGTGGGTCATCAGCAAGCACAGTGTGATTGGCTCCACTGCACAACACAACTTTTGAGTTACCAGTATAGCCAAGACTCCAGGAGGTTGTTCTGTTCTTACTGAACTGATAACACAGACACATAGAAGTGTGTTTGGTGAGGACAGAATCTTCAGATTTTATTTGATTAATTTTGTGTACTAAGAAAGTGAAAATTATGGCTTTATTTTTCATTTTAAAAGCTGGATTGCTAAGTTTGGGTATATTTATTTACAAAATCTGCATTTCTGAAAAACTTCCCTTTCACTTCCTCTGTGCCTGATTCACAATTCCAAACAACCATTTTTCAGCTTTCTCCATCTGCCAAACCATTCACTTGTTTTTATTAAAATTTCACGTCCAATGTGAAATAGATGAAAACAAAGGAAACAGGGAATTCTCAACCATCAGAAATATTATCCTCAAGAGTTAGAGCTGGGCAACATTTATGCACTTGAAATGAGAATCTGATTATTTGAAACTAGAATTTATTATGGATGACACCCTACAGCAGCCTGGTGGGTACCACTGGTAACTGATGAATGTTTCAGGTGCTTGGGAGCATCCCATGGCAGACTTACTTCCAAAGGGTGCTCTCTGCTGCCTCGACAGGACAGGCAAGGCTCATCTCCTACCTCTCTGGACTCGGGTGCTTTGCAATGGCCATCCCCTCAGTGCTCATTGGGGCAGTCGCAGCATCAACAGGTAAATTGAATCATTTGTCTCTGAGTAATCAATGTGGTTTTGGCAAAGGTGATTAAAACGGGATCCAAAGAAGTCCTGATAGAGACTTCAAATTACCCCGTCCCATGGTCCTTGATACCAAGATAGGTAATCTGTCCAGAAAATGTGGAGCCCTCTGAGCTACATTGCACAACTACTTACAGACATTTAAACAGCCCCAAGACCTGTTTAAAGCTATTTTCTTAAAAAAAATTACTTTTCCCAGACTTTGTGTTGAGGAAAGATGAAGGCAGACTCTCTTGTGTCATCCTAATTTAGAAGAAATTTTATGCCTTAGACATGTAAGACACAACAATATTACCAAAGATTGTTAATAAGGATCTTTCTTAAAGTAATCAAGAAGTTCAGTCCTGCAAACTCACAGTCTCCATGCAGGGAATCAGTCCTGTGTTGGCTGTGAGCAAGGGTAAAAGGACAGCCCGATCACTGAACATTTAAGGAAATCAGCTGAAGTCATTACTTCATCCAATTCCCTTCTCCTCATGAGCAGTGTCTAGAGGCTGACTTTCAATTGAGCCAAATCTGGAATCACACAGGACACACCTATTTCAAAAGATGCTGCTGAGGAAAAGGGAAAATTTTGATCTAGTGGGAGCTGCAGCATGCTAAGGGGAATCACTAAAGTTCACAAAATAATAAAAAAAAATCAATCTACGTCCTAAAATACTGAGTGGATCTCAGTTCTTAGTCCTTCTGTGGCCCCTGTGAAAAGGCAATTTCAAAGCCAGCAAAAATGGTCATGAAGGATTTGTTGTGACTTTCCCTTGTTTTGTTTTAAAGACTGGAATCAGACAAGCTATGGTCTTCCAAGTCCATTTGAGAGAGGGGAGTCAGCAATGATCCTACCACTCGTTTTACAACATCTCTGCCCAGCATATATCTCCATTACCGGTTTGGGAGCCATCGCTGCTGCTGCGATGTCTTCTGCAGATTCAGCTCTTCTCTCCACTGGCTCCATGTTCGCTCACAATATCTACAGGAAAATCCTGAGGAAAAAGGTACCTGGTTGCAGCATTCAGTAGTTTTGGTGTCATTAAAGGCAGTCTTGTTTCAAGGCTATTTCTAAATCAGTCTGTGACTGGAGGTGTGTGTCCTTCAGCTGCTGAACTGGTTTCTGGAGATAGAGCTGCAGACATAAGCCAGGGGTGTTCATATCCTTGGTAGGGGTACCAATACCCATACTGGTGACCTTTGCTCATTCTAACAAGACTAGTATAAAAAAAATCTGGACTAAGGTATTAATGGAAACAGCATAAAACCATGACCCTTAAAATCAGAAGGCCCCTCCAGGGGTACCTGCCCTGCCTGGCTGCTGGTGGCAAGTGGTGCCTGAAAGCATCAAGGGCCTGGGGAGAACCAGCCCAGGCCAGAGCAGTGCTGGCCATCCCTCCAGAAAACACAGTGTCTCTAATGCTGCAATCTCTGCTTTACAGGCGTCAGAGACAGAGGTGCTGTGGGCCATGAGGAGCTCCATGTTGGTGTTTGGGGCTGGGGCTGCTGGTCTGGCGTATTATTCCAGCTCTGTCTACAACCTCTGGTTCCTCAGTGGGGAGCTGGTGTACGCCCTCCTCTTCCCCCAGTTCTGCTGTGCCCTCTTTGCACCCAGCACGAACACCTATGGATCAGCTGCTGGCTTCTTGGTTGGGCTCCTGCTGAGGCTACTGGCAGGGGAGCCTGCCCTGAGCATTCCCCCTGTCATCCGCTACCCAGCCTGCTCCCTGGTGAATGGGACCTACAGCCAGCTCTTCCCCTTTAAAACATTCACTGTGCTTCTTACCTTGGGCACAATCCTTGCTGTTTCACACCTGGCCAAGGCCCTGTTTCAGCACAACCTCCTCCCTCGCAGCTGGGATGTTTGCAATATCACAGAGGGAACAGCCATCCTCATTCCCTTGCAGCAGGTGGAGAAACAGGAGCATTTGCCGACCACTGCACTAGAAGAGAACCAGGATTAAATGTGGGGTTTCATTTGAAAGGCCACAGTGTGTTCAGCAGTTAGACACTGCACAGACAGCATCACTCTGCTTTCTCCACTAATGATTTTGTTAAATTCCTCACAAAGAAATAAAGAGGCGTTCTGTTCATCCAAGGAGAGTATGCGAATTTGAAGTCAGCAGTGATTAAAGTCACATGGTGATGTAGTACAATCTTGTGGTGGTGACCACGGGACACCTTGGGCCCCAGCAGTGGTTGCTTTGAGGTGCCCCTGGTATTCCACCTGAAAGCAAAGCTATAATCCTGCTCTAACAATTAGAGTGTTCCCAAGTCATCTACTTTTCTGACCACAAGGAAGACAAATTAATGTCTGATAGATTGTGTATTCTTGATTAAAAAAAAAAAAAAAAAAAAAAAAAAAAAAGGCAAGCAGACCTGTTTCCATTACATAGCAAGGGGTTTAGCATAATCATCCTTGGGGAGCACATCAAACCCCTGAAAACACAAATTACTGAAAGCAGTGCAACTGCCACAGCAGTGCAGCAGTAATATCAGTTCTTCACAATCCCTTGTATGCTTTACAAAGGTTTCCTTCATACTGCAAAAGTTTTTGCATGTCTCTCCCCACTGCAGTATCTGCCAGTGGATCACTCAGCCTGGGAATGTGTGAGACATCCCCTCTATAAAATCTGGTAGGGCAGTAACAGGTAAGCAAGGTAAAGCAACAGCCCTTTACTATTCACTAAGAAAAATTTACATAGCCACTATTAAAAAAAACAAAAACAAACAAAAAAAACAACGAAAAAAAGATAGTAAAATAGAGGTGCCAGATGGAATTTTATCTAAAACCTGTTAAATCATTTATGTCAAGGTTTCACCCTAGCACAGCGACAGGATGGTATGTGATATACACAAACTGGTGTGTGAGAAATCAGAGGACTGTGATAACAGAAAGGTGCTGGAAACTGATCCTAAACTTTCCTGCAGGGACACAAAATCCTAAAATGCTGAAGGCAAGATCCCAAAAGATTCAAGCCACAGATAAGTACAGAAAAGCCCCCAGTATCTTTGCATAAATTCTTAATGGCTTGGAAGACAAGAAACCCAGATAAATAGTGAGTTTGGACTCTAGCCTGAAGTCTGATGAACTGAGAACATGCCCCAGTGAGATGGATCAATAAGATGTGAGCTAAATTAAAGATTCAGGAGAATTCCATAGTAATGGCTCATGGGTGGCTGCCATTTTATACTTTCCCCAGCAGCTGTGCAGCATCTTATTGGGGTCAGTTGCAAATCCAGCCACAAGAGCCAGCAGGAACCACAATCACAGTACCTTTCCAAAATGGTTGTGGGAGCTGCTGTAAGTGGAAACACCTGGCACTACTGAAAGGAAGATATTTACTGCCATAACCAAAATATCTTGCAGCAGAGTAACCCTCACAGCCAAGTGAGCTGCTGAGGTGAAAACAAGGTGCTGCTCTGTGATTTACTTCCAGCACGTGCATGCACAAGGTAAGAAGCTCTACTGGTGCCACTGTGCATTACTGCAGCAAGCTCAGCAAGAAGCCACAAGACTCTGAATTGTACCAAGGCAACTGCCTTGCCTCTCGAGGAAGACTGCCAGCCCTGCACTCTAGATATGGCTTTGAGGGTTCTGCTCCCTGTGGGGGATCATTCATCTCTTTTAAAATATCCATCCTCAGCAAGGTGGAGATTCTGCTCCTCATCAGAAAATTATCACATAACCTTACATTTTGTGCTAGTGTTAGTGAACACCTGGGCACACTAACCTTCCAATGCACAGCTGTCCTATTGATATACTTTGTTAAACCAAGGCCAGAAATTCTCTCCTGTGTCTCTAGAGACTGACATGAAATATTAATTATAGCCTGTCTAGAAAAGGGAAAAAAAAAAAAGGTTTAAAAATCAAAATCTTTGCCATTAACTGTGGCCCTAGGCTGTCACCCACAGGAGTCTTTCACACAGCAGTGATTTGAGTGGGAGTGTGTGAGGTTGTGCTTATGCAATGGAGGCACGAAAGCTGTCATTACCCCAGCACCAGGAGAACAGGGCTCTCATTAAAGCACAGTTGCTGGATGCTGATTCAAACATACTCCCCTGAGAGATTTAGGGGTGACCTAGTTTGGGGACGTGTCCATCCCCCTTCGTGGGGCAGATCATAGCTGACATGCTGCATTTGAACCAGGGCACAGACCTGCTGCACGACCCAATAGGAGTGAAACCCCAATGTCCTCATGCCAAGATTATCGCCCTGCTACCTGACCATAAAATCATAGAATGTTAAGGGCTTGGAACAGACCTTAAAAATCATCTAAGCCCAAGGCCCCTGCCATGGACAGGGGTGCCACTTACTAGGTGAGGCTGCTCAGGGCCCCATTCAACCTGGCCTTGAACACTTCTAGGGACTGGGTATCCACAACTTCCCTGGGCAACCTGTTTCCATGCCTCACCAACCTTTGAGTAAGGATTTATTATTTAACCTAAAAATACCCTCTTTCATTTTAAAAATACTGTCCCTTGTCCTGTCACTATCTGTTCATACAAAAAGTCCCCTTCCTTCCTTTTTATGAGCCCCCTTAAGGTATTTGAAGGCTGCAATGAGGACTCCATGGAGCTTTCTCTTCTGCAGGCTGAGCAACCCCTAATCTCCCAGACTGGTGCTCCATCCCTCTGATCATCTTTGTGGCTTCCCCAGGATCCACTCAGCACATCTTTCCTGTGCTGGGCCCTGGAGATGGAAGCAGCACTGCAGGTAGCGTCTCACCAGAGCAGAGCAGAGCAGAGGGGCAGAATGCACTTCCTCGCCCTGCAGGCCACACTGCTTTTGATGCAGCCCAGGATCCATTCCACACAACAGCTCTGACAGGCAAATGCCGACATCCAGAAGTACCTTTCCACTATTGTGCTCAACTTTTCCTGCTTTTACCCTGCAGAGACACCAAGCTTGATATTGAAGCCTTTCTGTGCTAACAGGTTTGGCATGGCAGGTGAAGGTGAACAGTGCTGAAGAGTGTCACCACCGCCACCATGTTAGCACCCAGTGTCACCACAGAAACTCACAGAGACTTCAAACATGAGAGTCTTTACTGTCAGGGGTATCTGGCATACTCAGCCATACATGGCCCTTGCAAAGCTTCCCTAAATTTCATACCACTAAAGCTCTCTGCTTCGTGTGAAGAGAGGAAAATGGCAAAAGCACAATTACTGTAACTCTCATGAATGCTTACCATTTTCCATCCTTATATGACTCTCTCCTCCAAACATCCCCCAGCAAGCTTAAAAAGAAAACATTCATCAAGGTTGGACAAAGTTTTGGAAGCAATTATTTGCAAGTAAAATAAATACAAAAGTACTTCTGTCCTATACTTAATGCCCAAATGCCTAGTTGTTCCAGTCCAGCAGACTCAAGGTCCTTGAGGTGTTGCCAGCATGGGGGATAATGACCCAACTCCCATGAAGCCACTCTGTTCATGGGTTACAGCCTCCAGTTCATATTCCTTTATTTTATTTCCAGTTTACCTCTCCAATGTGGATTTACCTCCTTTGACCCTTAGAAGTGTCCATGACAGTGACTCTATAAAGTTCCAGTTTTGATTAACTTTTCTCAGCCTAGACAGCTGCTACATAAAGCAGCAAACATCAGCATCCAGCAGTACTTTATTGTTGCCTGGGCTGGCCGGATCCACTGAGATACCCTGAGGCTTCCATTGTCTTGCCTTTCTTTGACATTTTTACAGTTCATCTTTAGAGCATCTGAGATGGTATCAGACTGAAATTTGATTAAGAAAGAAGAACCATATAAAATCAATGTCATGTGCATTAGGTAGATTAACAACAGTCAGGTTTGAAATGCAATTACTAGTAGGAAATTACCATTCAGTATCAGAACCTCTAGTGAGGGTGATTCTTGGCATCTGCTATGGAACTGCAGACAGTGACTGGGTGGGCAATGAGGAGCAGTCCACATCGTGTGCTCAGCTGGTCAAACGAGCTGCAGGTCAGTGTGGGCTCACAGACAATCTAATGCAAGTGTCTATAGACAGATCAAGTGTATCACAGCCTAAAACCAACTGTTGGCTGTGTCGTCCTCAAAGAAAGGTCTGAGTAATGCTATGCACTGCAACCTTGAGATTTAGGTGAGATCAGTCTTACTCAGAGCATGCTCCTGCTACTTTGTCTCTTTTTTTTTTTTTCCCTCACAGGCAGAGTTTATGACAACATCCAGTGTCTAGAAGTTAAAACTAGACAAATTAAGACTAAAATGAGGCTCAGCATTTTAAATGTAAAGTCCAAGAATAGCAAGTTGGCAAGGGCTGAGGTGGATCTGCCATCACTGTAAAGGCTACAGTGAAAGTGGAAGTTTTTCTCAAAGTTACCCCTCTGTTTTAATCCATTCAGTGTAGCCCTAGGATATCTGATGTCCATGTGCAGCCCAGAGCTCAGACTGACAAATCCCAGTAACATTGTTTGTTCCTTACTTCTCCGAGCCCTGCTGGAGATGAGCAATCAGGTACCACTGAGGTAACCACTGCCACTTTTGTCTTAATGCTGACATTGCTCAGAACCCTGCTTGCCACTCCTTGAACTCCAACAGTAAGAAGTCAAGAACACAATGTGCTTTGGATTTCTAAATCTAAACTGCGTCCTCCATCAGCAGACTCTCCGTATCCTGCACCCCAAGGTGTCTGTTCAAAGATGAGGGAAGAAAGTTTCCTTCTCTCAGTGATGGCGCTGCATGACTCCTCCAGCAGCCACCTACCCATCCTGCACTGAAAAATCAAGTTTCCATCTCTGCTGTGTTGGGAGCAGTTCCTAAGTCCTCCACACACATAGGCTGAGGTGGGGCATAAGGCCAAGGCTGTAAGTGGTGTTGTGAGTCCATGTGTGGTGCTCCAGGGGGAAACCACCCACTGTGCCAGGGTCTGAGCTGTGACT